GATGATGACTACTCTAGAGGGTATGGTGTCAAAGACCCAGCGATCATTAATGACACTAAAGGAGAGAATACACTTGGTATCAACACTGACCTCAGCTCATAATATGTACAAACAATTTGAAGTAATTAATACAATCACACACAATGTAATGTCATGTATATTTAAAGTTGGCATGTAGTGCACCACACATAGCTCTATGTACATGTACATGTAGTTTTTAAAATGGCTATAACTTTAAAATTTGAGCTCGGAATCAGCTCAAACTTTCTACACAGCATAAGGACATCAATATGTATCAGGAAATGTAATAAAAATTGGGGGTGATTTTGGAGCCATTTTTTGGAAAAAAACATGGGCTATAGTACAGGGAAATTTTCAAAAATTGGCCCATTTTTAAAATGGCCATAATTTAAAAATTTGAGCTCGGAATTGGCTCAAACTTTCTACACAGCATAAGTGCATCAATATGTATCAGAAAATGTAATAAAAATTTGGAATGATTTTGGAGCCATTTTTTAGAAAAAACCATGGGCTATTATAGTACAGGGTATTTTTCAAAAATTGGCCGATTTCTTAAAATAGCCATAACTTCAAATGTAATGTGAATATTTCATTAAGTCCTCTTCTTTTTCTATGTATCATTAGCAAGAACAAGAGCCCATTATACAGCAGAGGATACAACAAGCAGTTGATGAAGTGAAGACAAAGTCATCAGAAGACAAACAGAAAGTATTAATGGACGCCAGCAGACAATTGAGGGAAGCACTGAAAGAAGCTAATGCACAATCAAACTCAAAAGAAGTAAAGAAAGAGAGGGAGGGAGGGAGAGGGAGAGAGGAAGGGTTAGAATAGGAATTGTTCAAGTATGTAGTACAGACTAGCCTCTATATAATGGACACTTTAGTGCAAGAAAGTGTCTCTGTTATACAGAGGTGTCCTTTATGTGGAGGTTATTTTATACAGTAAGGAATGTAATTGGTACACTAGGTGCTGTCCGTTAAATGGAGGTATACACTATAGAGAGTGTCCATTAAGAGAGACTATACTGTACATGTACATGTCTTTAAAACTCTCATTAATTTGATTCTCTCTCTCTCTCTTATAGAATTGTTGGAATTGTGGTAGGAAGGCCACAGAGACCTGCAGTGGTTGCAGTAAAGCAAGATACTGTGGTACTTACTGCCAACATAAAGACTGGGACAGACACGTGAAGCATTGCTCAACGACATCATCATCATCATCTAATAATAGTAACGTTACTAATA